AAATCAAAATACATGGTTAGATTCAGCATATCAAAGAACCCCATATATTCAATTTTTGTTAAAATCAAACAAAGTTTAATTTTGGACCCCGACTTGGACAAACTTGAAAACTGGGCCCATAATCAAAAATCTAAACAAATGTTTATATTCAGCATATCAAATAACCCCAAGAATTCAATTTTTGCTAAAATCAAACTAAGTTTAATTTTGGACCCTTTGGACCTTAATGTAGACCAATTTAAAAAACAGGACTTAAAATTAAAAATCTAAATACACGGTTAGATTTGGAATATCAAAGAACCCCAATAATTCAATTTTTGATGAAATCAAACAAAGTTTAATTTTGGACCCTTTTGACCTCAATATGAACCAATTTGATAGCGGGGCCCACAAATAAAAAATCTAAATTCATGGTTAGATTCAGCATATCAAAGAACTCCATATATTCAATTTTTGTTGAAATCAAAAAAAGTTTAATTTTGGACCCCAACTTGGACCAACTTGAAAACTGGGCCCATAATCGAAAATCTAAACACATGCTTAGATTCAGCATATCAAAGAACCCCAAGAATTCAATTTTTGTTAAAATCAAACTAAGTTTAATTTTGGACCCTTTGGACCTTAATGTAGACCAATTTATAAAACAGGACCCAAAATTAAAAATCTAAATACACGGTTAGATTTGGAATATCAAAGAACCCCAATAACTCAATTTTTGATGAAATCAAACAAAGTTTAATTTTGGACCCTTTCGAACCTCAATATGAACCAATTTGATAGCGGGGCCTACAAATAAAAAATCTAAATACATGGTTAGATTCAGCATATCAAAGAACCTCATATATTCAATTTTTGTTGAAATCAAACAAAGTTTAATTTTGGACCCCAATTTGGACCAACTTGAAAACTTGGCCCATAATCAAAAATCTAAATACATGTTTAGATTCAGCATATCAAAGAACCCCATATATTCAATTTTTGTGGAAATCAAACAAAGTTTAAATACTGGACCCTATCTTGGACCAACTTGAAAACTGGGCCCATAATCAAAAATCTAAACACATGTTTAGATTCAGCATATCAAAGAACCCCAAGAATTCAATTTTTGTTAAAATCAAACTAAGTTTAATTTTGGACCCTTTGGACCTTAATGTAGACCAATTTATAAAACAAGACCCAAAATTAAAAATCTAAATACACGGTTAGATTTGGAATATCAAAGAACCCCAATAATTCCATTTTAGATGAAATCAAACAAAGTTTAATTTTGGACCCTTTTGACCTCAATATGAACCAATTTGATAACGGGGTCCACAAATAAAAAATCTAAATACATGGTTAGATTCAGCATATCAAGGAACCCCATATATTCAATTTTTGATGAAATCAAACAAAGTTTAATTTTGGACCCCAATTTGGACCAACTTGAAAACTGGGCCAAAAACCAAAAATCTAAATACATGTTTAGATTCAGCATATCAAAGAACCTCATATATTCAATTTTTGCTAAAATCAAACAAAGTTTAATTTTGGACCCTTTGGACCTTAATGTAGACCAATTTGAAAACTGGACCCAAAATTAAAAATCTAAATACACTGTTGGATTCGGCATAACAAATAAATAAATGTGATCAAAGATTTTACAAATCTAATGCGCCATACTGAGCAATTAAAGATTTCTTCTTGAAATTTTTCAATATTTGAAATTTGAAAAAAAAATAATATTTGAGGATAATTTTTTTAATTTCTGAAATCTGAAATGAGAAAAAATTGACCCCCCACAATTTCTTTTTATCCCCCCCCCCCCTTTTTTCCCCCCAAAAATTCTTTCCCTCAAGATATGGTCATAATCTCAATTCAAATTTCCAATGGAGTTGGCAACCATAATTACCCATTTAAATTTACCATAGTGCTAACTTAATCTATTTTATAATAGAATTAAAAATATAGTGTCAAATCTTTCATATGGATTTTTTTGTAAAAAAAAAAGATGCAACATTTGCAGATATTTTTACTGGTCTTCCTTTATAAATATGCATTTCTTTAAACATAATTCAAAAGCAGTGTAAGGGAAGTAACCAAAACGTTGTATTTGGATTACCTCCCTTACACTGTTTTAAATTATCTTTATTGTTCATTAACCATTACTTTATACATAATTTAAAAGCAGTGTAAGGGAGATAATTTCAATGATGTATTTGATTTACCTCCCTAACACTGCTTTAAATTATGTTTTGTACTAAAGTATTTATCGATTAACCAGGACAACCTTGTTTTTCCCCCTTTTTTGCCCCTAATTCCTAAACAGTTTGAGCCATAACCCCCCAAAACAAATCCTAACCATCCCTTTGTGGTATGGAAACTTGTAGTATAATTTCAGAGAGATCCATACACCGTTCCACAGTTATTGTCTGGAAACTAGAAAATGCTTATTTTTGGCCCCTAATTCCTTAACTGTTGGTACCATAACCCCCAAAATCAATCCCAACCTTCCTTTTGTGGTATTTAACCTTATGGTCAAATTTCAAAAAGATCCATTTACTTAAACTTAAGTTAGAGTGCGAAAACCAATGTGTCTTCGGACGACGACGCCGGACGACGACGACAACGACGACGACGCCAACGTCATACCAATATACGACCACAAAATTTTTTTGCGGTCGTATAAAAATTACTTGAACAATGACATCATTAATATTTTTAGAAAAAAAATGAAAATTTTTTCCATTTGTAAAGAGGCATAACTCTAGAATGGTAAAAGTGACGCCACCAAAATTCAAATTTGATCTGTGTTTTGAGGTAATAAGCATTGTGTATAAGTTTCATAACATTTGGTTGAGGCAAACTCAAGTTAGAGAACGAAAACGAAAAATTTAGCATTTTTTTCCATTTATAAAGGGGCACATCTCGAGAATGGTTAAAGTGACCTTACCAATATTCAAACAGAATAAGCATTGTGTATAAGTTTTATAACATTTGGTTGAGGCAAACTTAAGTTAGAGAACGGAAACCAATTTTGGGATGTACGTACGTACAGACGGACAAGGGTACGGTAGGGGCATAAAAAAAGATATCACACTATTTCTGAAGTACAAAACAGCTTTCACAAAAATGCTGCAAAAATTGTAACCTAAGTTACCTTTGAAAATGATGTCGCGCACTAGAACCACAATTGGGATTTTCAAAAGTCAATAGGTATAAACTTAAGATGTGGTATGATTGCCAATGAGACAACTCTCCACAAGAGACCAAATGACACAGAAATTAACAACTATAGGTCACCGTATGGCCTTCAACAATGAGTACAACCCATACCGCATAATCAGCTATAAAAGGCCGCGAAATGACAAATGTAAAAAAACTCAAACGAGAAAACTAACGGTCTGATTTATGTACAAAATAATGAAGGAAAAATAAATATGATATACAGCAACAAAAAACAACCACTATGTTCTATATTTAGACATGTCAGCCATATAAAAATAAGGAGATGTGGTATGATTGCCAATGAGACAACTATCCACCAAAGTTCAAATGAAGTGGATGTAAGCAATTATTTGCAACCGAGCCACCGTCAACAATGAGAAAAACCCATACCATATAGTCAGCTATAAAAGGCCCTGACATGAAAAATATGAAAACATTCAATTGAGAAAACTAACGGCCTAATTTAAAACAAAACAATTTACGAAAAACAAATATGAACCAACGACAACCACTGAACTACAGGCTCCTGACTTCGGACAGGCACATTAAGAATGTGGTGGGGTTAAACATGTTTGTGAGTGCTCAACTCTCCCCTAACCTGGGACAGTGGTGTTACAACACAACATAAGAACAAACTATAATAAAAATCAGTTGAAAAGGGCTTAACTCATCAGATAGATACAAAGCAGAAAAACATCTAACAAAAACACAGACCAGACATGGCAGGGTATTTATACATCCTTAATAACAAAAAAGACAAAGTACAGATCTGAGACTACTTGCAGTTACTGACAGCTAGTTCAAAGTCAATAACAACTAATAAAACAATTATGCATCTAAGACTAAAATATCAATTAGTACACACATGATAAAATATAAGTATCGACAGATTGTAGTGAAAGTGCATATGTGTATAACAATACTATTTAGAATGGTTTTAATTCACTGATAAAAAAATCAATATTTATACCAATGAAAACAATATTCAAAGATCTAATTACAGTGTTAAACTGGTTACCTTTTAGAATAAGTTTATTTAAAGGATTGATAAGATTACGAGGGAGGTATCTTATTCTAAATTTCTAGGCTCTGTAAACAACATCACCATAAAATTTAGGATGTGTTATTCAGTTTGAAATAAGTTTTCTACAGGTACAGCCTAATTTGCAAACCAAACCTTTGTATCTATGGAAAATTTTTAAGTAATTTGTGGTAACCAAATCTCTGACTTTATAATTTACCAATAATACATAGGTTACGCTCATGGAAATCCAAAACGTCACTACAAACAAGTTGGAACACATAAACACCGTAAGATGGTGCCTAAGCACCATCACTGTCCAAAAAAGAAAGTTTACAATAGGGAAAAAAAAATCCATTTTGTTGTAAATTTTTGTGTCAAGTTTCTGGTGTAAAACTGAAATATCTAAATCTAGAAAAGGACAGTTGTTGGTTGGCAAGCAAGGTTATCTGACACATTTTTTAAACTAGATACCATAATAATGGTTGTGGCCAAGTTTGGTTAAATTTGGCCCTGTAGTTTCAGAAGAGAAGATTTTTGTACAAGTTAACTGACAACGACAGACGATGGACGCCAAGTTATGAGAAAAGCAGCTAAAAAGAGAATAGCAAATTGTCAAGTTTATGAATCTCATCATTCATCTGATTAACAATACTATCCATTCATCATCTCATCAATTTGAAAGTGTTGTCCTTTCTTCACTTCCACAAAGGAGTCACAGTAACACACTCATAAATTCTTCTGATCTTATATTAAACTGTAGTCAACTTACTTTTTCTCCTACAGCACATGTATAACAGGACAGCAACAAATAGTAAAATAATAACTCCCATTACAACTAACAAGATAGTTTTAGATGCATCTGCAATTAAAAATAAATAAATGTCATTGAATTGGCTTAATAATTGAACAGTTATAAAATAAGAAATAAATTTGAGTAAAAAGAATCAAAATATGATCACTTAGTATCTAGGAGGTGCAGAACTTAGTCAATCAAACGAAGGTGTCATATAGAAAATTGTAAAGTGTTCTGCAGTACCTAGTGTCTTTACTGCAATTGCTGCTGTCAGTGTAAAAGTGTTATGCTGACTGCCACAACCTGAATTTTATTTATCAATAAAATAAAACAAATTCAAACTTTTTTCTTCAGATGCTATTTCTTGATCATGAAGAAGCATCTGTCTAATCTTATAACATTCAGTGAAGGTTTAACAAAGTCAATGATGTCTAATAAAGATTGGTGTTTAACTACATTTAACATTACTGTGCCATTTTGTGGCAGTCAGTTTTTGTTGATGGAGGAAGCCATTGTCCTTCTGTAGGAAAACTGACGATTCTAGTCAATGAAGATTGGACCTGCCAATATCAGGATTGGAACTCACAACCTCAGTGTTGACAGGCTAGTGATATAGTAGTTCTACCACTAAGACCACTAGGCCACGGATTATGAAGAAGCATCTGTCAAATTTCCATTCAATTCTATGACAAACTTATTTATGTCACTAGTGGGATTCAAACTCACAATCTCAGTGTTGACAGGCTAGTGATACAGTAGTTCAACCACTAAGACCACTAGGCCACGGATTATAATTATGAAGAAGCATCTGTCAAATTTTCATTCAATTCTATGACAAACTTATTTATGTCACTAGTGGGATTCAAACTCACAACCTCAGTGTTAACAGGCTAGTGATACAGTACTTCAACCACTTAGACCACTTGGCCACTGATTATGAAGAAGCATCTGTCAAATTTTCTTACAATTCTATAACAAAGTTATTTATGTCTAAACAAACTTTAACCACAAACTGAACCTAAAAGTTGATGATATCTTCTGACAATGTCAGATTTTAGGAGAGCAATGTATAGCTTCTACAACTTGATGCAAACTAGATAGAAGAAGTTTGGTGCTGCCTATCATCTCCAAATAATATGAGCAGAAACCTGATGAAATCACACAATAAAAATTTATTGCACAACTTCCATGTCCTGTACAAGAATCTGTGTGAATCTAATGCCATTCCTTTTCAAGTTGTGATTTAACAAACTGATAAAAACATAAATTGCTATACATTGGCTAGAGGTATAGGGGGAGGGTTGAGATCTCAAAAAACATGTTTAACCCCGCCGCATTTTTGCGCCTTTCCCAAGTCAGGAGCCTCTGGCCTTTGTTAGTCTTGTATCATTTTTAATTTTAGTTTCCTGTTTTTAATTTGGAGTTTAGTATGACGTCCATTATCACTGAACAAGTATATATATTTGTTTAGGGGCCAGCTGAAGGACGCCTCCGGGTGCGGGAGTTTCTCGCTGCATTGAAGACCCAATGGTGGCCTTCGGCTGTTGTCTGCTCTATGGTCGGGTTGTTGTCTCTTTGACACATTCCCCATTTCCATTCTCAATTTTATCCCCATATGCATCCTTTATACACCCTGTTATCTATGATTGTTTATCTATTAGAACCAAACGGAAAAGCTTTTTTGTTTAAGATCCTTCAGAAAACTAGGGTAGGTAGGTTTGAAGTCTTTTTTTATTTTGCTAAATATCTATATTAAAACCTACAACTTTGGCAGGGCTCACTACAGAAAGTTCTTAACCTTAAGGTAGCCATTTTGAGTAAAAAATAAATGGGGAATGTGTCAATGGGACACAGATGATGCCCCCACTTGCATATCATATAAAGAAATCAAGGGACATAACTGAAGAATGGTAAAAGTGACACTACACAAATTTGTACTTGATCTGAGTTTTGTGGTAATAAGTATTGTGTATAAGCTTCATAACATTTGGTTGAGGAAAATTTAAGTTAGAGAACGGAAACGAAAAATTCAGCAATTTTTCCATTTGTAAAGGCCATAACTCTAGAACAGTAATAGTGACACCACCAAAATTCAAACATGATCTGTATTGTGTGGTAATAAGCATTGTGTATAAGTTTCATAACATTTGGTTGAGGCAAACTTAAGTTAGAGAACGGAAACGAAAAATTCAGCTATATTTCCATTTGTAAAGGGGCATAACTCTAGAACGGTTAAAGTGACACCACCAAAATTCAAACTTGATCTGTGTTTTGTAGTAATAACCATTGCGTATAAGTTTCATAACATTTGGTTGAGGTAAACTAAAGTTAGAGAACGGAAACCAACTTTGGGACGTATGGACATACTGACGGACAAGGGTAAAACTTAATGCACCCTCCACTACGGTGGGGGCATAAAAACATGTTTTGAATGGAAACCCAAAACACAAGTATTTTTTTATTTTGGCCTTAGTATCTGAGAACTGAATCAGCTAAATGGAATCAATAAAATATAAAATATAGGTCAAAATGACCTTTTTTTAGGGAAGCAGTTATACTCCAAAGAGGCATACTAGATACAAATGGCAATGAGTACTCTAGTCCAATTCAGTGATGGTGTGATAAAGTAACACTAACTCTTGTTGCTTTTGAGAGGATTTTCTCACCTGCTGGACTAATTATAACATTGTCTTATCTATGTCTATATCTTATGTCTTATATTTTATGCTTGTAAATGTTCATTTTAAACACAGTAGACCTGGGTTGTTTATGTTATCATTCTAAGAGGTAAAGTATGTGTCTGTCAAAGAGAGATAAACTTGTTAAGCTAACAATAATGGTTCAAAGATTGTTAATAAGTTTTTACCTTTAACTCATCTTATCTGTTACTTTAAATAATAAGTCTTCTACATTTGGTGTACAGAATTGTTGTAAGGTGTACACCATATCATTTTGGCCGTCTTTAAAAATGAGGAAAAAAGTTGACATTATGTATTTACCTATCTGACCCACGTCCTTTGGTGAAACTTTAATCACAGTTGTTTGTTTCTCAGTTGTACTGGTAGTTGTTGCTACTGGTGGTTTTGTTACTCCCAAAGATACTTTATCTGGTGATCTGTAATTGAAGTTATTTTGAAGAAAGATTCAGAACTTGTGTTAAATTAATTGATTCTTGAAAACTGTAATCAAACAAATATTTATAGTTGAAAAATGAAATTAAGAATGAATTTAAAAAAAAATAAATTACAGGAAAAATTCATATCACTGTGGATTCTTTATTATTCGTGGGATACCATTTTTTGAGGATTTCATGGGTATAGGTTAACAACGAATTTAAATGTTCAACAAAGTAGAATTTTTTTAGAGGTGTGTAATCAGACATTGCAAAACCCCAAAATCAAGTATTCACTAAAATACAATTTTTCCTCAACCCATGAAAACTGGTACCAACAAAAATAAATGAATCCGCAACAGTCAATTTTACATATATTTTCACATAAAAAAAAAGAATGTACACATTGTTTTACTAATGATGTCTCTACTATTTAATTAGACAAAGTGATGGCCCCTCCCTGCACTACACTCTGAAGTAACTGTATTATAACAAAGTCAATGTAGGGCTTTCTTTGAGATATTATTGTGTCTGAGAGACACAAATGATGCCCCCGCAGATGCAAAGTGTTATTCTAAAACACACAAAGTTGAGCATGGGAGCACATAGGTCTATGGTTCACTGTAGGAGGAGTTATCCAGTAACACTATGCACCTCTTATGCAAGTATATACTCCAAAAATGACAAAGTTCAACTATCTCCCAAAAGAGCAAATAGTAATAAAAATCAAAACCCTGACCACATGCACACCTTCAATATATGTACAAACAGCCAGCAAAGTGAAAACTTCCTAGCATTCAAACTGTAGGAGGAGTTCTCTGGAATAACTATATACCCATAATGGGACGGACAGAAGGACGGAAGAACGGACAGATGGATGGACGGACAGGGGTAAAACAATATGCCCCAACTTTTAGTTGCGGGGGCATAATAATAAAAAAATGGTTAACAGGAAGTAGGTGTATAACAGATCTGAAATGAGCTCACATCTTAAAACTCAAAAGCACAAAGCAACTAACCTAACTATGTGAATTCATTCTGTTCAGTAGAACTTAGCAATTGGAATTGGTTTTCCAGATTTTCCAGATCAATCATCGCTGAATCAATGTGGAATAAATGGAATGAACTTGAAGTCTCATATTCTGACATTTTTCATTATAATAAAATGCTCCACAGGGCGCAGCTTGATACGACCGCAGAGGTCGAACCCTGAACAGTTGGGGCAAGTATGGACACAACATTCAAGCTTGATACAGCACTGAATTTGGATTGTGATTAAATATTTGACACAGCATAGGTTTCTGACACAGAATGAATGTGGTCTCAGAACTTAAAAAATTTTAATTTACCTATTCAAACCATATCATTATTATTTGCTTTTATATATAAATCAGAAATAACCAATTTAAAATTGAAAATTTTAAAGAAAAAAAAAAAGAAAAAAAGGAAAAAAAAATCCCTCCCCCAAATTTTTTGAACCCCCTTATGATTCATCACCCCCAAACTCAATCCCAGCCTTCCCTTTGTGGTATGGTACCTTACAGTACAATTTCAGAGAGATCCATACACTTGAACACAAGTTATTGTCTGGAAACTAGAAAAATGCTTGTTTTTAAGCCCCTTTTTGGCCCCAAATTCCTAAACATTTAGGGCAATTACCTCCAATCTCAAACCCAGCTTTCCCTTTGTGATATGGAACCTTGTAGTACAATTTCATATAGATCCATACACTTACACACAAGTTACTGTCATGAAACTAGAAAAAGGCTTGTTTTTTTATCCCTTTTTGGCCCCTAATTCCTAAAATTTTGAGGCAATTACCCCCAAAATCAATCCCAGCCTTCCCTTTGTGGTATGGTACCTTACAGTACAATTTCAGAGAGATCCATAAACTTGAACACAAGTAATTGTCTGGAAACTAGAAAAATGCTTGTTTTTAAGCCCCTTTTTGGCCCCAAATTCCTAAACGTTTAGGGCAATTACCTCCAAACTCAAACCTAGCTTTCCCTTTGTGATATGGAACCTTGTAGTACAATTTTAAAAAGATCCATAAACTTACACAAAAGTTATAGTCCTGAAACTAGAAAAATGCTTGTTTTTTACCCCTTTTTGGCCCCTTATTCCTTAATTTTTGAGGCAATTACCCCCAAAATCAATCCCAGCCTTCCCTTTGAGGTATGGTACCTTGCAGTACAATTTCAGAAAGATCCATACACGTGAACACAAGTAATTGTCTGGAAACTAGAATAATGCTTATTTATTGCCCCTTTTTGGCCCCTTATTCCTTAACGTTTTGGGCAATTACCCCCAAACTCATTTCCAGCTTTCCCTTTGTGATATGGAACCTTGTAGTACAATTTCAGAAAGATCCATACACTTACACACAAGTTATTGTCCTGAAACTAGAAAAATGCTTGTTTTTTGCCCCTTTTTTGGCCCCCAATTCCTAAAATTTTGAGGCAATTACCCCAAAAATCAATCCCAGCATTCCCTTTGTGATATGGAACCTTGTGGTACAATGTCAGAGAGATCCATACACTTGAACACAAGTAATTGTCTGGAAACTAGAATAATGCTTGTTTTTTGCCCCTTTTTGGCCCCTAATTCCTAAAATTTGGAGGCACTTACCCCCAAAATCAATCCCAGCATTCCCTTTGTGATATGAAACCTTGTGGTACAATGTCAGAGAGATCCATACACTTACACACAAGTTATTGTCATGAAACTAGAAAAATGCTTGTTTTTTGCCCCTTTTTGGCCCCTAATTCCTAAAATTTGGAGGCAATTACCCCCAAAATCAATCCCCGCATTCCCTTTGTGATATGGAACCTTGTGGTACAATGTCAGAGAGATCCATACACTAACACACAAGTTATGTCTGGAAGTTACAAAAATGCTTATTTTTTGCCCCTTTTTGGCCTCTAATTCCTTAACTGTTGGTACCATAACCCATAAAATCAATCCCAACCTTCCTTTTGTGGTATTGAACCTTATGGTAAAATTTCATTGAGATCCATTCACTTAAACTAAAGTTATAGTGCGAAAACTAATGTGTCTTCGGACGACGACAATGTCATACCAATATACGACTGCAAAATTTTTGCGGTCGTATAAAAATGCTTGTTTTTTGGCCCCTTTTTGGCCCCAAATCCCTTAACGTTTAGGGCAATTACCCCCAAACTCAAACCCAGCTTTGCCTTTGTGATATGGAACCTTGCAGTACAATTTCAGAAAGATCCATACACTTACACACAAGTTATTGTCCTGAAACTAGAAAAATGCTTGTTTTTTGCCCCTTTTTTGCCCCTAATTCCTAACATTTTGAGGCAATTACCCCCAAAATCAATCCCAGCCTTCCCATCGTGGTATGGTACCTTGCAGTACAATTTCAGAGAGATCCATACACTTGAACACAAGTTATTATCTGGAAACTAGAAAAATGCTTGTTTTTTTGCCCCTTTTTGGCCCAAATTCCTAAACGTTTTAGGCAATTACCCCCAAACTCAATTCCAGCTTTCCCTTTGTGATATGGAACCTTGTAGTACAATTTCAGAAAGATCCATACACTTATACACAAGTTATTGTCATGAAACTAGAAAAATGCTTGTTTTTTGCCCCTTATTCCTAAAATTTTGAGGCAATTATCCCCAAAATCAATCCCAGCCTTCCCATTGTGGTATGGTACCTTGCAGTACAATTTCAGAGAGATCCATTTCATTCTCAATTTTAATTTTACTTGAACACAAGTTATTGTCTGGAAACTAGAAAAATGCTTATTTGTGGCCCCTTATTCCTAAACGTTTTTGGCAATTACCCCCAAACTCAATTCCAGCTTTCCCTTTCTGATATGGAACCTTGTGGTACAATTTCAAAAAGATCCATACACTTACACAAAAGTTATTGTCATGAAACTAGAAAAATGCTTGTTTTTTGCCCCTTTTTGGCCCCTAATTCCTAAAATTTGGAGGCACTTACCCCCAAAATCAATCCCAGCATTCCCTTTGTGATATGAAACCTTGTGGTACAATGTCAGAGAGATCCATACACTTGAACACAAGTAATTGTCTGGAAACTAGAAAAATGCTTGTTTTTTGCCCCTTTTTGGCCCCTAATTCCTAAAATTTGGAGACAATTACCCCCAAAATCAATCCCAGCATTCGGTTTGTGATATGGAACCTTGTGGTACAATGTCAGAGAGATCCATACACTAACACACAAGTTATGTCTGGAAGTTACAAAAATGCTTATTTTTTGCCCCTTTTTGGCCCCTAATTCCTTAACTGTTGGTACCAAAATCATTCCCCACCTTCCTTTTGTGGTATTGAACCTTATGGTAAAATTTCATAGAGATCCATTCACTTAAACTAAAGTTAGAGTGCGAAAACCAGTGTGTCTTCGGACGACAACGCCGGACGACGGTTTTTTTTATACGACCGCAAAAAAATTTTGCGGTTGTATATTGGTATGACCTTGGCGTCGTCGTCGCCAAGGTCATACCAATATACGACGGCGAAATTTTTTTGCGGTCGTATAAAAAAAACTAACATGTCACAACTCATCACTGTCAATCTGATGTCAAAAGATGAAGTCATTATGTTCTTAAGTACTTGAGAAAATTAAGAAATATTTGTTGGACCAATAGACATACGGACAATGTGAATGCTATATAGACCCCTGTCCTAAAGTGGTATACATGGTATATATAATAACATATTTTAATTTGAAATATAGTTATACATGTAGATGTACTTTAATTTTTATCCTCACTCCACAATATTATAAATGATTTACCTTGTAGATGCTGTTGGATATGGAATGCATTCTAAAGACATAGGTGGTCTGTAAGTTCTATTTGTACAAACATCTACACACTTGTACACTGTAAATATAAAATGATATATTTGACTTGTTGTTCAAGAGATTTAATTTCCATGTTGGTAGTGCATGAAGATAGTATGTTTCGCAAAATATTGAAAGACCCTTTGAATTCTCTATCAAAGATATCTGATGAATATATATATATAACAAGTTAATCTATACATAAAACACATGCATCTATATTAATTTCAAATTTTCATTGGTTGGTATGCTCAATCCACAGTTTTGGAATTTATCCCAAACATCCATCACTAAACCTAACAAGGAATGAGCTGTCAAATTGACAGCAAACTGGGTTTTCTGTACTTTGAAAGGCTCTTTCAAGATTTTTTGACCTGCCACATTCTATACCTATTTCCAATCTATCATGGACCATACATAACTCCAGAATGGCAAAAATAAAACTGTCAATATAAAACTTGTCCACCATTTTGTCATCAGTAACAGCATATTAAAACTTTATGAGCATTGGCTGAACAGTTCATAAATAAAGTATATGCACAGAAACAACATAAAGTTCAAATATCCAATCTATGAAGGACCATAACTACTGAACCGCAAAAATGAAAATTGTCAATTTCAAACTTGACCACCTAATAAAACATTATGAGGATTGGTTGCACAAAACGACATATAATGCCAATCTATCAAGAACCATAACTCCTGCTTGGCAAAGGTAAAAATCAGCATTACATGTATCTAACTTGACCTCCATTTTTTCATCAGTAGCAACATACTAAAATTTTTAAAACATTGGTCAAGTGGTTTATAAGTAATTGCATGGAAACAACATAATGTGCCATTTTCCAATAAATCAAAGACAATACCTCCTGAACGATAAAAGTGAAAATGGTCAATATTGAACTTGATCTCTATTTTGTCATCAGTAAGACCGAATAACAACATATAACAATTTGAAAACCATTGGCAGAAGGGCTCATAAGTTATTGAATGGAAACGACATAAAGTGCAATTTTCCAATATATCAAGGAATAACTCCTGAACAGTAAAAATGAAAATCGTCAATATAGAAGTTCACTTCTATTTGGTCATTAGTATCAACATATTAAAATTTGAAAAGCATTGGTAGAAAGGTTCATAAGTTATTGCGTGGAAACTGTTGTTAGCCGCCTGCCTGCCAGCAGCCCACCCGCTGTACTTTAACAAAACCCTTCGGAAAACCCAGATAAAATCAAACAGATAAAAACAAATGATAGAAAATATGAACCATTATCTTATAAAGTGATCAATTGAAATAGGCCTACAAAGACCTAAAAGTGGGATTTTAAACAGCAACAAAATCATTAAGAAACTTTGTGGTCTGTTTTGGTCATATTGCATCTACATGTATTCTTTTTGACAAGAATAGCTACATATTTCTTATGTAAAGTCAGTTACAGTAATCTGTATTTTGTTTAGTAGGGACTTTTTCAGATTTGATCTTAAAGAAGATTTAGCTCAAATTTAAAATAGCCATCTGATTTGAAAATTTCATCTACCGGTAGTTAGATTCTTTGCAAACTTTTGTTCAACAGATTTCTAAATTAATAAATAACCAATACACTCTATTTTCGACGCACTGCCTAGAACCAAAATGTAGAAACAGAAATGGTGCACAAGTGCCTTGTAAATCAAGAATGTTCTCTATAGTTTCACTTAAAAGTTTTCAAACTTGTTTTCTTTCTGTGTGATGTTTTGTTGACTGTACATGTAGTTCTTCTAATCTTCCATATGATATTTTATAACACTCTCTGAACCCTTTTACCATTTTCTACAGTGTATCATTTGTATTTTGTATTGGAATTTAGTAGTTTTAATCAAATAAATGTATAAACAAAGAAGTCATGATTACTATAGTACTACTGGTATACCTTTGATGAAATTATGATACATGTACTATACCTCTTTCATCTTACTTACTCATGTTAAGTTCCTGATATAATGGATCACATTTCTTTGAAATAATGCATCTGTTATCTCTCTCATCGAAATAGACACCATCTACAAGGAATTCAGGAAATTCAGGCACATAGTTCCCTGTATAATTACAGAAACATTTGCGATTTGATACTGCATCACTATCATCAAAGATTGCCATGCCTTCCGAACGGCACTTAGATTTTTGATGGATACAATGAGCAACTCCATGTTCTCTGTATTTGTTTGATTGAAACTGTCTTGGACTATAATAGTCAGAATCACACACAATTTCCTGGAGAGTTTTCTTTGCTACGTTGTATCTAGGCATGTGTCCTGAAGAAAAATAAGGATGTAAATGAAAAATGTCTTTAAGAGATCTTCCCACCTACACAATTAAAACCTTTCAGACATCTTTTGAGTTCAAGATACAGTCTTCATGCTCTGAAATGCATGAAATTGAAAAAGTAGTAAATAAAGAAGAAGGGGCATCGAGTTCTAATATTTTAAGCATATATGATTTCATGGTTTTGTCCAAGTTGGCATACCGGTACAAGTCTATAGAAAACCTATAGTTCATTGAAAATTTTAAGGTTTACCGATCACCACAAAATCCACATTATCCACGAAAATTGGTATCCCTTAAATAATAATGAGCCCACAGTAACAAGGAAACATGAAGCACATTTGAGAAAACAAAATATTTCAAGAGAATATGTTTCATGCATAGTTTCACATTTTCTTGATATGGTCATACTTTTCCTTTTTCAAATTAATGTGAATATTGATAAATGCAAGAAAATTGGGGAAATACTCAAAATGTGCAATTTTTATCACTGCTTGTTGCCTTAGAAACTATATTAGTTGCCACTTAACATTATATTGTTTTAAAAACTAACAATAACTGGTGAGATATGGCAGTGTTTGGAATAAAGAAAACAACGATTGTATAAAAAGTGATTATTAAAATGTGCACTTATTGATAAACCTACAGTCAATCATAAAAAAATTATCTTACCTTTTGAACATAAGAATAAGTACAGACAAGCCCTTAATTTCAAATTAAAGAATTAGGTTTTAACTTAACAACTCGTGAAATATTTTTTTATGGAATATCAATTCTAATGTGCATGCTTATTTAATTTAAGCACAGCAAGTTTTTTTATCACTATATAAGTGATAATAAATTGCTTCGACAAGCGCAGCTCGATACGACCGCAGAGGTCCAACCCTGAACAGTGTGGGCAAAAATGGACACAATATTTGCGCTTGATACAGGTCTGAATTTGGATTGTAATTCAATATTTGACACATAATAGGTTTCTGACACAGAATAAATGTAGTCAAAGAACTTAGAATTGGTTATAGAGGCTTGCAATGTATAGGGTATATTGGGATACGGGATATTTGCCATTTTAATTTTAGGGATATGGGATATTTGTCCTAAAAATAAATGGGATATGGGATATTGGTGCATTTTTAGGGATATTGAATTTTGAAAATGAAAAATGAAAAAAAAATGTGAAAATTAAAAGTTAAGTACAGAAATATTTACATGTCACTTGATAAAATTGCCAAAAATGATTTACTTGAAAAAGTTATTTAAGTGCTTTGTTGATTTTCATTGAGTTTTGTTAGTATAAAAAACCCCATGCAATCACGCATCCCAAATTGCATGATAGGACCCAACACGTACTATTGATCACTATTTTAGTGTTTCGGCAGTGAAAGCTTGGGATTAGAGGCTCTGGCTTGGGATGGTCATTTTAGATGCTTTATTTTAGTATAATCAAATATGAAAATTATTCATGTATATATTGATATATTTATATTTCAATTCTTCATCAATAGGTCTAGTTATTATGACAGATCTGCCATCATCAGGGGTCCAACTGTCAATTTTATGTTAAAGTCTTCAACTTTGATCTACTAACTTAAAGCATATCTCAAACACTTTTATGTTTGCTATACGCAACTATTGGTGCAGCATTGAATATTTATACACAATCTTCGTCAAACTGTAATAAATGCCCGTTTCTTTATTTTACGTATATATATATATGGATTATATTTAGTTATCAAAACTAACGGAATATTTTCTTTTTCCTTCGATTTATTTTGCTGTAATAATTCAGTAGGGTCAATTGATAAAGCATCAGTAATACTATCATCTATTTCGACGTTATCATAACCCCTATCTAATAATTTGACTTTGAAATTAGTTTGATTGTTTATTAAATTGTTATGGTCATTTGTGTTTCTAATTTGCTGTATTGCTTCACCTTTAATAAATCCTCGGATTACATGCTGTGAGTGACAGCTATTTCTATGCAGATAGAGATAAGAATTTGTTTCTTTAAAATGTGTTTCAAGGTCGAGAATGCCATGTGTTGTAAATCTTTGACCTTTAATTACAAGAACATCTTAGAACGACATTTTGTCGTTTGAGATTACATAGGTGGACTTCAATAAGGGGTTATAATTATTTGCTAGACGAAAAGAATCTGCAATTTCATCTGATGTTCCATCATATATTATGAATCCATCGTCCCTATATTTTTAACCATATAAAATTAAACAGACCTAGAAAAATCCTATTGCACGAGTTTGCTATCTATTCATATCTACATTTATGTTTATAAATCGCTTATATGACCGTCGGCAGTCTTCGGAGGTCAACTCGATAGTTAATTAGATGGCGTCTAGACTAAAATACACAAGAGACGATGAAACATATTATCGAGCCCATGCCTTGTAAATTGTTTATTTTATATTTTTAATAATTTGGATATATGTTTTAGTATGCTATAAATCAAATATGAGAATTTGAGTCAAATCGATGAACATGATATTGACAACCAATGCCCCTTTAAATGAATCTAATTGGCAGTAATGTTGAGTATTTAGTTGTCTTGTGACTTCTGTTATGTAGTCTAGTCTGTCTGAAATAACACAATTTGAATTGTTATCTGCCTTTTTTATTACTATTGTTTCATCATATTTTAAATTGCGTACTTGCTATTCTTTCGCCCTTAGTAAGATTGTTTTTTTTTTTAATTATTAGAAAAGATAATTCAAGCTTTGTTAAATCGATATAATTTTCTGACGTATGGCACATAGAAGCAGGTTTATATCCTATATTGCTATGAAATGGACGAAGGTCATTTTTGTCGAGCCTTCGACTTTTGTCGAAAAAGTGAGACATAGCGATCCTACATTCCGTCGTCGGCGTTGTCGTCATCGTCGGCGGCGGCGTCCATAAATATTCACTCTGTGGTTAAAGTTTATGAAATTTTAATAACTTTCTTAAACTATCCTGGATTTCTACCAAACTTGGACAGAAGCTTGTTTATGATCATAAGATAGTATCCAGAAGTTAATTTAGTAAAAAAAAATCAATTTTTTCTGTATTTTACTTATAAATGGACTTAGTTTTTCTGCCGGGAAATATAACATTCACTCTGTGGTTAAAGTTTTTAAAATTTTAATAACTTTCTTAAACTATCCTGGATTTGTACCAAATTTGGACAGAAGCGTGTTTATGATCAAAAGCTAGTATCTAGAAGGAAATTTTGTTAAAATTTTGTACCTGTTTTTCAGTATTTTACTTATAAATGAACTTAGTTTTTCTTCCAGTTAACATTACATACAGTCTACAGTTAAAGTTTTTAAAACATTTATTAGATTCATAAACTATCCTGGATTTTTACCAAACTTGGACAGAAGCTTCTCACAATCAAAAGATAGTATCGAGAGGAATGTTTTTATTAATTTTTTTCCTCATTTTTGTTGAGCCTGCGATTAACAGCAAAAGTAGGCGAGACACTGGGTTCCGCGGAACCCTTACACATTTTATTCTTCATGACTGAACATATATCGACATCGCAGTTGTCTAGCAAATTCACTGTAGTCTTTTAGTATAGACATTTTGCATTTTTGCTTGATGGCGTTGGTATAAATTTCAAGCCTTTCGCCAACAGGATATATTCCTGATTTGATAATTTGCGTTTTAATAGATTAACTATACATGCTTTTTTGCATGTGCAGCTCTTTGCTGCATATTATATTCATTCCGTTCTTTTTTTTATTGTAGAATTGGATTTTTTGCTTCTTATCATTTCTATTAAAACGACGTGTCATCTGTGAGTTCACATTGGGTGATTCTCTTAGCTACGTGCCTTTGATGAGCTCACATTTGGTGGCTCACGCTTATCTCTACAGTAACTTTTTATTTGTTACAAACGCTTAGTTATATATTGGTTATTCCAGAGACATGTAGATTAAAATTTAAAGGTCTCTGGATAATTCTGAATGATTAACTTTTCTCTGTGAAAAAGTCAACATCCTTGACATCCATACTACAACGTACAACATGTATTTACGAATGTTGTATACAAAAATGGGTTTGGGAATGAATTAATGATTTTTGGGATATTTCAAAATAGTTTTAGGGATACGGGATATTTGTAAAAAAAAATTATTGGGATATTAGGGGTGAACATTATAGGGATATGGGATATTGGGACAAAAACTTAATGGGATATGGGATATTGATACCCCCCTAAACAAGCCTCGTTATATGATTTGAATTTATATTCAATTTTTTGCTTTTGTGCATTACACTATGCTGTTGCGAATTGCCCCCCCCCCCCCCACCCCCCACCCTTCTTTTTCAAAAAAATTTTGTTTACCCCCCCCCCCCCCCTTTTTTTTTTTCAAAAATCTGTATTTTTTTCTAAAATCATGAGAAAAAATTGCCCCCACCCCCCACCACCAATTTTGTTTTACCCCTCCCCTCCCTCCCAATTTTTTTTAACCTCCCCCCTTTTCCAAAAAAAAAATTCTTTCCCTCAAGATATGGTCATAATCTCAATTCAAATTTCCAATGAAGTTTGCAACCATAATAACCCATTCAAATACATCATAAAAGTCTTAAAATAGAAAATGACATACATAATTATGGCTAAAATTAATATACCTTAATCAGCATTTTTAAAATTATCAAAATAGTAACTTCTAAAAATGAATTAACAGCTAATCACCTCAAGACAATACAACATTTCTTTATACATAATTTAAAAGCAGTGTAAGGGAGGTAATTCAAACACAACATTGTACTTAAGTAATTGTCCATTAACCAGGACACCCTTGTTTTTTCTCACTTTTTTGCCCCTAATTCCTAAATGGTTTGAGCCATAACCCCCAAAGCCAATCCTAACCATCCCTTTGTGGTATGGAAACTTGTGGTATAGTTTCAGAGAGATCCATTCACCATTCCACAAGTTATTGTCATGAAACTAGAAAAATGCTTATTTAGGCCCCTTTTTGGCCCCTAATTCCCAAACTGTTTGGACCATAACCCCCAAAATCAATCCCAACCTTCCTTTTGTGGTTATAAACCTGGTGTTTCAATTTCATAGATTTCTATTTACTAATACTAAAGTTATTGTCCGGAAACCAAATGTCTTCGTACAACGTGGACAACGACGTGATGCCAATACACAAGTAACACAACCGCAAAATTTTTTGCGGTCGTATAAAAAAACTTGCCGTATGCTCGTTTATTATTATATTAAAATTAAACTTGAGTTTATATCAAGTGATATCCAATTCTCACTCGTTATGAAACCTATAATGATTTATATCAGTAATGCCATGCTTAATAGTACTACATGTAGTTATTTTGTTTGTCTTTTAGCATTAAATCAAAATATCTCACGAGTTGTTAAAACCTATTTCTTTTAACCAACAATCTCATTGTGTTAAATAAAAAATTCCATGAATCTAGTCTATGGCGTCAAACTTTAACATCAGACATTCTAAAATCTTTTGAACGCTTCAGAATGTAAGAAAAATTTGATAAAAAGAAGATTTCCAGGTGAAAAGTGTGCCTGTTTAGTATACTATTGAAGAAATCACATATGTCCATTCCCATGAACGAAATGTACATCGCCTTAAACTTTGAAAGTTAAAAATGACCTATCGAATAGCCAATTGAAATGTCGTAATATGGTCTTTTGATGCTGGATAAGCCAATCAAAATTAACGCAGTTTTCATATCACTTTTTTGTATCACACTTAGTGCAGTGTGATACAAGAATTATCTCTTCATGCAAGAAATAGATAACAGACCATAATCATAAGAGGAACAGATAATTTTGGGGTATAACTACCTGCAGATATAGTCTCACTAGGCATACAACACTCCACATATTTATTATCATGGTCAACATTTTCTTTATAATTTTCTGTTATAAGGCAATGATAGGTATCTATGTCAGCACATATGTCTGTTGCTTGTGCTATCCAAGCAGATGATGACTGTTTACAAATTGGTACAAAGTTTGCTTTTGAACACTGACTTGCGACTTCACAAAAACTGTTAAAAAATATCAGAATCTGAAAAAAAGATACAATGTTTATAATTTATTAAAAGATTTATGAAATAATTCTTTCAAGTCATGCTCCATAGATGCTCTGTTTTAACCATGTTAACATGGGTAGTTAATTTCTTTAACCATCAATCATAAGTGGGTCTCATTGGGGTCTAAGCGTGATGCATGTAAGCGTGATGCGTGTAAGCGTGACACGTGAAAGTCAAATAATTTAAATATGAAAAAGGGAACTAAAGTCAGGCAGGATACGTGAAATTACAAGCTTTACTAGTATCATTGCAATGATAAGTGGGGTCCGGGACCATACCCCAACCCCCCCTATGAGACCCCCTCATAAGTGATATGTAATATATTGACATATAGATAGATACAATGCCTACTTATGTTAAAATAAGAATAGAAATGACATAAAAGAATTTTTTTATTCTAATATGAAAATTCAGACCTTTTTTTGTTCAAGACAGCCATTTTTAATAATTTGATGAAGTAAAAATTTTCTAAAATGAATAAAACAAAATAAAAAGTATGTTATCTCCATAGGGTTGACAGGGTAACAGTAGCAAGCCAGACATTTTGCAAACCATTTGACTACTCTCAGTGTGAATGGCTGGATAAAGAAACAATGAATTGCATGCATTGTTGTGATAGGCCTACCTCATTCATAAAATGAAGTATTTAAAATCAAGAAGTAGATGTCTGACAGATCCAAAAAGGCCTTACACATAACAAGTTATCACTTTACAATAAATTACTAACTTTATCCTTACATTTGCCTTATAAAGAAAGCTGTCTTAAATCTGGCTACATTATAAGGTTACCTTCAATTACAAATATCATCAGATCATGTAGTTGTATACGTTATTGCATGAAAAATATTTTCTTTATATCTTTAGTTGTCTACTTGTAATAGAATTATTATAAATGTTACATTTAATGGTATTTATTTCATTCCAATTGAAACAAGCATTCTGAGAGTATTGCATGGCAATACATAGTCCCCTACTGGCTAAAAATTCATTTCACTGGAACAAAATGCTAACTTGTTCTATAACTTGTCATGGTGTAAACAAAAAGTAAATATCATGTCAATATCTTCAAGCATGACTAAAAACAGTGTGGAAAACTGATTATATGAGTGAAAAAACATTAGATATGATTAATAGTTCTCTAAAATTAGATATGATGTAATACAGTGTATATCTATTTTCAAATTATAATCAAATATAATTAATAGTTCCAAATATTTTTTCTTTCATTTGTCACAAACTAATATAGATTTGTAACTTATCTATAAAATGTCAACAACTTTTATCTACACAATGAAATGTATTGAAATATATACATTAATAAAAATAGATTATTATCTAGTTAAAGGATTTCTCTTCATAATTTTTTTTTATATATATATATAGCATTCAGAAAATTAGTTTATACTAAATAACAAACAAGCCTGCCAAAAAATTCTTCAAATAATTTAACAAAGAATGTCTTTTAAAAAATGACTTATCTCCCTTTGTACAGAAATATGGTTTAACATAGTACTCTAACATTAGATATGGTCCATAACTCTGGACTAAATCATCAGACCCGAACAAAATTCGAACTTGATCTATAACTTGTCATGATAAAACTATATACCAAATATCAAATCAATATCTTCAAGAACGAAGAAAAAAAGTGTGGAAAGCTGATTTGCCGTACTGACGGATGGACAGACGGACAGACGGACAGAGTGCAAACCTAAAGTCCCCTTCAACTTCGTCGGTAGGGAACTAATTAGGACAAAATGAAAATCCAGTGAAAACAAAAAATGAAAATAACACTTGATGAATTTTGTGTGTCCGAATCACTTTTCAAGAACTTCCTTCAACAGTAACAGATCTATCTAGACACTGAGTTAATTTTATGAACATGTTACATCCATTTCCCAGAGGTCAATCGGCTTCAATGACATCATTGAACAATAGGCTCTTACTGTGGCTTAATAACAATAGTGTGACATAGGAAATATATACAGAAAGATGCATGAATTTGATCTATGATCAAACCCAAACATTTGAAAGCCAAGGACATATAAATACCTCAATATGTGAGGAGGTAAATACCTCAATATTTGAGGAGGTAAACAACCAAGTTCTTCTAAGGTCAACTTTGCCTGGTGGAGTTTCTTTAATAAATTCTTAAATATATCAATGGAGAATATCAGAAAAATATGTTATAAATCGTTTCAGTTAGTGATTACAGAAAGCACTGACCACTGACCCTCAGGCGAAAAAAATGTCTCAAAATGATGTTGTTCAGAATTGTCTTATTTTCCTGTAATTACCATTGAACACATCCTCTGATAAGACTGTAGAAAAAATTCAAATATTAAACATCTTTAACATAATCTACTTACTGTTAACAATTTGAATGAAGTGTTGATACTTTTCAATACTCCTTTATTTGATGTCATTCCTGCACATTTTCCTTTCACTGAAAAAAAAAGACAAATCTTTACACATATAATGAATTATAGAACCTAATCTGTATTAAACTCCGTTTGGTGAACCAACGCCTGCGTTAATCATTTCGATAGAGTCCCTGAAGTGGATACCTTGGTATGCAGGGTTGTCAAATTATCTGTATTAATACAAATAATTTTTGCAAGCTTATATTATCTTATGATTCCCTTGTTTTTACATTGGTCAGTGTTCTCCCCAGGATTTTTGGATAGCACCATGGTAAGCGTGGGAACAAATTAGAAATATGCATTGAATAGTTTGCATCGTGTCATGACACATTTCCTCTGTCCTCTCTTCTTATGGACAGTTCCCATAAAAGTTACTATTTGTTTATCTTTTTTTTTTTTAGTTTTGTGCAAGGTCTCTCCGTTTTAGGTGATTTATCATGTCAATAACACTTGAGGTGTTTCTGTGTCTGATAGTGACAAATCTAGTAGCCTGTCCTTGTACTTTTTCTAGTTTGTTTATATCCTCAATAAAGTAGGGGTGGAATTTAAGCCAACTGATATGTCACTGATGTAAAACAAAATCAAGACTCCGCCCCAAAACAGATCCTTGAGGCACTCCTGATTTCACAGGGACATAGCCTGAAGTCTCACCCTCTAGGATAACTGCTTGGGTACGACATGATAAAAAGCCCTGTATCCATGCATTTGTTTTACCCTGTATCCCTTAGTGATTTAGTTTGTGCCTTAATGAATTATGACTGACTTTATCGAAATCTTTAGAAAAATCCATTATAAGTGCATCTGTTTGTTTTGAATTTTCAATATCTTTCGTGACATCATCTATAAATTCCAAAAGCTGAGTTTCAAAAGATTTATTTTTTCTAAAGCCGTGTTGAAGGGAATACAGGATGTTATGGTTGTCTCTGTGTGTCATGATTGCGCTAACTACAACATGTTCCATAATTGTTGAAAGGGATACAGGATGTTATGGTTGTCTGCGTGTGTCATGATTGCGCTAACTACAACATGTTCCATAATTTTGCAACATATGCATGTTAAAGAAATAGGTCTATAATTCTCGTGATTATATTCAGACCCTTTCTTGAAAATGGGGGAGACATGTGCAGTTTGCCAGTCAGTGGGGAGTTTGCCAGTGTCTAATGATTTCTGGTATATAAAGCATAGAATAGTCACTGGTGATATTTCATGTGCTAACTCCCTTAGGAGGCGTGGCTTAAGTTCGTCTGGTCCACTTGACTTGGATGGGTTTTCATTTAAAAGGCGTTTGGAGATACGTTGGATGGTTATACTTATGTTTTGCATGGTAGGGTACTGTAAATTCAGAAATTATTGCGTGCATTTATTATTGCGATTTTGTCATTTTAGACTAAAATGCGATTTGAATTTTTGTGATTTCGAGAAAAACCTGTAATTCCTATAAAAAAATTAATAATGCGAGTTTAAATTATTGCGATTAAAACCCTGTCCTATTTTTCTCAATAATAAAAACATCGCAATAATTTCTGAATTTACAGTAAACTGTTTTCTGTTGCATGCACTGATTGTTTTCAAGTTCAGTAGCAATGATTACGGTATGTTTGGTTCTGAGAAAACAGATTGAAACTGCCTGTTCAAGTGTTGAGAGCATCTGATTTCTGTTTTGAGTCTGTTATAAGTTTTCCATTCTGCTTTAGTGATGTTATTCCACTATCATGACTGTAGTCAGTTTTTTTGCTTTTAATATAAGACCAAAATTTTTTCATGTTGAAAAAGTTGTTTTCATCAGGTTTTGGAGTAACAATATTTTCAATGTACTGCCAGTATGATTGTCTGAGTTGTTTTTGAACCCGATGTTTAATTTGCTTTTATTTGTTTCTCATGATGTCATTTCAAGATTTTTTCATCTTTTTATAGAGTCTCTCTCATTTTCATTAATTTTCTTGTTTCAGCTATAACCCATGGTTTTTTATTTTTTGTAGTGAGGTATTTGTGTGGAATATTCTCACTGACTAGTTCATTTAGTTTTGAATTCTACCCAGAGTTCATCAACAGTATGTGTATTAACCCTTTCCTGTTTTATGTTGTAGGTCATTTACTTTTTTTTTTTATCACGTTTATTATTTCCCAGTTTGCCTTGTAAATCGGCACACTCCTTTGAGTCTATTTATCTTAGACGGTGTTATTTTAAATTCCATAAAGACAATTACATGATTAATGTATATTTTGGTGGGTAGATTTTGATTTTAATTTTTTGTTTTTCCAATTCCACCCTGGGACATTAAATCTCCTCCAATTAATACTGTAAACCAACTAATTATTGCGAGCAATTTATTTTCGTGACTTTTGCGAGTAGAAAAATAACGGAAATATAAATCATCGCGAATATGTAAAACTTGGATTTTTCTTTATTCATCTACATCAAGTAAATTTGAGAATTGCGAAATTAAATCGCCTCGAAATGGACTAGAAAGGGCAAAACGCGAAATAAAGTATCCGCGAATATAAGTTGGTTTACAGTATTGCTGAATTTTTTATTTGATTAGCTCTCCTTACTGATGTGTCAATTTTTTGCGGTTAAACAAAAACTTAATCAAATTAAATATGCAAATGAATGGAACATTTTACTTATAATTTGCAAGTCTACATTAGACAGTAATGTAGAAATGCCAAATTCTACTTTTCTATCAATGCTGGTATTAACCTTTAATCATCTGGTATCAGGTCTGTTCGCCCTGATGACATGTTCGCTCTAGGTCCTTTCGCCCTGGGTTCGTTAGCCCATAGAGTCTGTTCACCCAATATCAATATTATTGGTGTATTAAGGTTTAATAAACTTAGTCAGATATTTATATAATAAATATTAAAGAAAATATATATTTCTCAAAAACCGAAGGGAAATATTTAAAAATTAAAGCCTAATTTTGGAGCATTAATTGGCTTCATTATTACATTAAATTGATGTTTATTCAGAATTACTTTCAATGACTGTTGAATGTAATTAAGAATTCTGAATACTAGGTAAATTATGCCGAGTGTCTTTAATCTCACTGACTGGTGGATTAATTATGAAAACTAACATTTTTTCGAAATAAAGTAGAGTAAAAGCAATAATGTAAGACATGAGCAAATGATGAGAGGGAAATTATTTTTGCAGCTTGGCTTTTTTTATCTCGTTTGTTTTGACCAAATTTTTTATATATATATATATCATGGAAGTGGATTTTCAGTTATTTTATATTAAATACATTATATTCCTGAACACTATAGTGCAAATCAAAGGAAAATAATTATCTGGTAGCAAGCAATGCAACATAAATATTTGGCCAACTTTAACATACTCTATTCAAATATATATTATACGTGTCAACAAGACAACAAAATGAAATAAAAATCAGGGTGAACTGACCCAGGTCTAACAGGTATTAGGGCCAACAGGTACTACATGTACTATGGCGAACATGAATCTGACAGGGCGAACATCCTTGGGGTATTGCATAATCAGAAGGTATATCTACATGATCAAGCAATTAATATCCTATCACCTGTTGATTGTTCAATTTAACTATAATCAATGGTACAGAAGTAATTTTGGAATGATAATGCTCTCTGGTTACATGAAAGTTACAAAACAAATCTCCAGTTACATGAAAGTTACAAACGTTTTGTTTCTTCATTTCTTCAGAACTAAATTACAGATTGACATGATTTGACCATTCATTTTACTACTTTTGACTTCTACAGTGCAAAATTTCTGCAATCTCTGCTATCCTCTCAAATCTTTTGTTAGGTTAGGTTTTAGAATTAGGGATAGTGTTAGAATTTGGTATGAGCAAGGATTTGTATATCACTATACAAATCCTTGGTATGAGTTAGGATGGGTTTTGAATTCGGGTTAGCTTAGTAGTAGACCTCCAAATAGGTTGGGACCCCTAAAGTTGAAAAAAGCTGAAATTTTAAAACCAGCGACATATCTAGTCAACGTCGACAACGACCTGTAAAAGGTTGTAACAGGCGCGAAAAACATAGTTAATACTTGGTTTATCTTCTTAACAACTTCACCGATAGACCTACCTGATACAACGACGATACAGTGAATTTTTACATCTAAACATTAAAGTTGCGTCAATGGTAAATTTGATATCCAAATGCTCGTTTCTATTTTCGGTTTGGGAGTATAAGTTTTATTGCGCTTGTTTCTCCATAGACAAATTCGAAATGTAGTCAATAACCCAAAGAACGTTTTTATACAATATTATAAAACAACGTACAGAAAGAGTGAATGGGACAACTGTCTTTTATCATTAGAGATCATACCTAGTCTCACTATTTTTAATACATACCACCTTTGATAAGTGTTCAGTATGACGATAAATTTTCACTTTTGTTCTCGTACTAGGAACTATACAAATTATTTATATTGTAAAAATTATTTCCGTACTCCATGTATACCTTACAACAAAATTATTTTTATTTACCTGTGTACGTTATTTTATTTGGCGGCATTTTGTCCAAGGTTATGGTTGTCTTTCTGATATTGTTAAACATCTAACTCCCTTGTTTTATTAATTTTGTATTTACATTGTGTCATAGATCAAATTTATTCGTTCAGTGTATGTTCACTTGTTTTTGTTAATATGTCTTTTGATTGAGTTAAGCCATTTCAATTGATATTTTATAGTGTGTCTTTCTATGTTGTGATGTTACACTATCGTTTCAGGTAGGGTGAAGGTTGGCGCATATCAAAAAGTTTAAATCCGCTGCATTTGCTTGCACCTGTCCTAAGTCAGGAACCTGATGTTCAGTGGTTGTCGTTTGTTGATGTGGTTCAAATGTGTTTCTCGTTTCTCGTTTTTTTATATAGATTAGACCGTTGGTTTTCCTGTTTGAATGGTTTTACACTAGTCATTTTTTGGGGCCCTTTATAGCTTGTTGTTCGGTGTGAGCCAAGGCTCCGTGTTGAAGGCCGTACTTTGACCTATAATGGTTTACTTTTACAAATTGTGACTTGGTTGGAGAGTTGTCTCATTGGCACTCATACCACATCTTCTTATATCTATTAAACGCTTAAAAACTGAGAAAAAACAAAAAGTGGAATTAAAACGCAAAATTGAAGAAGAAAAGGACAATCTGAAACAACTTCAGTTACCGCCAAAAGTTCAGCCGTCGATTACAGAAAATCCTACAAAAGGTGAGAAAATTCATGACATTACTGACATTATTGCCTGCAGCACCGAAAAATCTGGAAAAGCAAATTGTTAATTTTCTTTGCCCAGAGCCTATCCCTCAGTATATATTAATTGAATTATAATATGTTGTTATCTTGGTGTGTGTATTTCTTTTTATGTTCTTTTTATTAACGTTATTACATGTATATTGTCTAGATTTCATTGCAAATATTATTGTTTATAATGATATTATTTATGTGTTACGTGTCCTCCTAGGATCCTAATTTGGTGAATAAGATATTCTATTCTATTCTATACTTTGCCAAAATGTGGATTTTACCGTGCTTTTTTCAAAAATATCATAAACTGAAGTATAGGTCGCCGTGCTATTTTTCAAGCTACAGTGTGTGCAAAATTTGGTAATTTTGCATAGATTATCCATGAAAAAAATTGTGAATAGAAATAAATCGGCTATCAGATAGAATTTTGAAATAAAATATGGGAAGATAGGTCTTATAACATGCATTTAGAAATTAAAAATAAAAAGTGGTATCAGCGAACTTGTTTTCTTTCTACAAGTAAAAAATGAAAATTTCATTAACATTCCTTTATGAAATTTTACAGTAATAGTTATCTCCCCATATATCGCTTTAGTTTAAAATTTGAATCGAACAAAAACAAATTTTATTTTTGTAAAAATGGTCTTAATAAATACAATAAATCACTTATTCTTCTTTATCAAAATAAACTGTTTTACTCAAACATTGCCATTCTGTCTCAATATTTTCCGATTTGAGCAAAAACTAGACTAATTTTGTACTGCTATTTTACAATCCAATAAAGCGATATAAGTTATCTACTTCAGTGAAAAACACAAAATATAAAGAAACATGTACTGATATATATATATAATTCGTCTCAAATTTAGCCCAACAAAGTTAATTAGATCTTCGAATTTTTGTTTTTCCCTCAGCGGGATTAGAACCTTTTGCTTCTGTGACATCGTGGCAACACCACCTGCACCGTGTCCACCGCCATATATAAGAGTAATGATTAATTAAGGGATCAATATAAACGCTCAGCCGGTAATGTCGCATTATAAACCCTGTCTGAGACCTGAATAACAATATAATATGCATATATGATTTCACTTTTATATATGCCTCTGTTAGTACATAACAGCTTTTAACTAAGTCAAAAATACCAGGTTTAAAATCAAAATACATGTACTTAGAATGATATCAATAGAGGTATACAAAACTGTTAATAAACAATGTCCAATGTATTAATATGAACCTATCGAAATTAAAAATTGTCGTTATTCTTTCAGAAATGACAATTATACATGTATATCGCTGATATTTACAGGTAAGGAAAACCGCCTATTAGTCTGATTAAAATCAAACCCGGCTCAGCGATCCCGTTTTCTGATATGTCGCGTTGCACATATACATAAACGATATATATATATATAAATATGGCAAGTGAGAGGTATGATTTTAATAGTCTGACCACCTATGTGCTGCACTCATTCAGATCGGCGTTTTGCATTTGCGCCGATCTGCATTTCACTTGCGCCGATTATTTCAGTCTGTCATTTGCGCCGATTGTTTTACAGGTAAATTACAGGTGAAAACTATTTCTATTTATCATTATAAACCTCTTCCACTAGCCAGTTATACATATGTTATGAATTATCAATTAAAACATGCATATAACTGTTGCCTCCTGCCCACAACGGGTAGGTGGAAGTAGGATTTCGAGCAAAACAAGTCAATTTTAAGGTTAAAAGCACTCTAGCTGTTTGCATCCACTAAAATAACTGATAAAATTGAGAATGGAAATGGGGAATATGTCAAAGAGACAACAACCCGACCAAAGCGCAGACCGTGGCAACAGCCGAAGGCCACCAATGGGTCTTCAATGCAGCGAGAAAATCCCGCACCCGGAGGTGGTCCTCAACTGGCCCCTAAATAAAATTGTGTGCTTGTTCAGTGAAAATGGACGTCACACTAAACTCCAAAACATAAATGAACTAAAATAAAAAAAAAACATACTAGACTTACAAAGGCCAGGGGCTTCTGACTTGGGACAGGCGCAAAAATGCGGCGGGTTTAAACATGTTTTGTGAGATCTCAACCCTCCCCCTATACCTCTAGCCAATGTAGAATAAAGAAACACACAGCAATATAATATCAAATGATATAAAAATCTATTTACAGCCTTTAAAATATCAAAGGACAATGAAACCTATTTACGCCATGAAAAAGGCACAGCACTAAAATGCAAAAAGGAGCAAATGGAACTTAAAATTATTGAATAGGCGCAAATGAAATTAACAACCAAATCGGCGCAAATGAAAAACTGAAAATTTATAAAATCGGCGCAAATGTCATACGCCCCATTCAGATATGCAGGAGCCAAACTATGAAACGAGCTGCCAACTAATATGAGGAAAGAATGCCTTTGGGTCACTTAAAAGTTTGGTTGGGAATTGGGAGGTCAACTTACAATTAGTATGATTAAGTTGATCTTATCTATCCCATGATATACTTGTAAAAAGGATATCATTAAAAATTAAGTTAGAGAGGTGACCTAAACCATGAAAATGACAGTGTGGGTCGGTTAAGAACTAATTAAAGTCTTCGACAAAAAGTATCACTTCAATTACCCCATCAGTGTAAATTTCCATTTTTTGAGTAGTGACTGTGGTATCAAAATAAGTTCTATGTGTGAACTATCTCGCTAGAGTTTAAACAAATAAAGTCATTTCGTAATTTTAATTTTACAACTGCTATTTATAAAAAGAGCGGTTGGTTCCATTTATTTTTAGCAACTTACTTTTACTCAAATGAATTAATGCATTTTGATTATTCTTGCCATGGTCCAAAACTTAATTTGATCAGATTTATCTAATGTTCAGCAATTTTGTGGTACTCAAATATCCTTTTTATTTTGTTTTTTTGTGCCTTTGTTTTTGTTTTACGCATATATACGTGATAAGAGAATCTTTATTTTGAACCCAAAAGTTCCATATATGAGTCATACATATATTCTGCCTAGTAAACATAATAAAATGTTAAAATATTTACTGAATAATGAGGGTCTGGATGGGGTGTTCAGAATAGGGAACAATGGGGGGAAATAATTAATAGAGAAAAATAATTAGAGAGAAAAAAATAAAGAACAGAAAATGATGGGGTACAACAGTATAAAGTCTTACTGTGGGGAAAATAAGAATTAGGCAATATAATACTGATTAAGAATAAAGAAATCGTGATAATAATAATTTGATGGTAAAGTAATTTTTATGAGAATTCTACAGAATAAGCATTATTTCTAAAGATAAAGAAACATGCCCCAAAAAATTAAAGAATACAGAAGGTAAGGACCCCCAATCCAGACCCTCATAATTATAGTTACTGTGACTTGACTGTAAGTGTTGCTCTCAACCTATTGCAACTTATTTAAAATTCTGACCAAATTGCAATTTTTTTTGTAAAACCAAACTGTTCAACTGGTCAGAAATTTGAACAAACTGTTGTAGGAAGTGCAAGGTGATAAAATAAAGCATACTTACAATCCTATAAGACTATAATTCCACTTCAATGTTATAATGAACAAGAGTGCACACGCTGAAATGTCTCGCCTTCTTTACTAACCATTGATATTATGTTGATAGTCCTAAATGAAAGCTTTACTACAACTATTACATAAACTTAACATGATCCAAGAAAATGAAGTCAAGGTCATATAAACCAAACGAGAAATACATGTACACCTTACAATCATTCAATACACTAAATATAGTTGACCTATTGCTTATAGTTTCTGAGAAACAGACTTAACCAAGAAAACTAAACATTGACCAATGAATCGTGAAAATGAGGTCAAGGTCAGATGAACCATGCCAGGCAGACATGAACAGCTTACAATCCTTCCATACAACAAATATAGCTGACCTATTGCTTATAGTTTAAGAAA